GTAGACGGGAATACTCTCAGCCACGTAGCCTGCCCTCGAGACCGTCGACACGATCACGCCGCCCTGAGGCACCTGCCGCCGCATGTAGTGCATGGCTAATTTCACAGTGTACATCTGCCCGATCAAGGTGACACTCAAGCAGTCGAATTTGGGCTTGACCGGGTCTCCGCTCTCGTCCACCTTGTCGAAGAAATCGCCCCTGTCCCCTATTCCCGCGTTCGGAATGACGATATCGATCCGGCTCCATTCCTTCACTGCACGCTTGAAGAGGCTGAGTAGGTCCTCCCAGCGACTCGTATCTGTCTGCATGTATAACACGCCCTCCACTGCCTCTCTTAGGGGCTGGACATCCCCAACCAGGACCTTCACGCCGGACGCAGCGAGCTTCTGGACGATGCTTAGCCCAATACCTGAAGAACCTCCCGTAACAACGGCGGTCTTCCCTCGGAGCTTGTCGCCTTTGATATTTGTTAGCCGAGAGAGGACGTGGTTGGCGATGGCTTCTTGTTTCTTGACATTGTCACCGCGAACAGGGAATGGCTTACCTATATCGGCTTCCGTGATGCTCAGATCAGTCATGTTGCCCGCTTACAATTACGTGATGCTTTTTTTCCAGACAACCCAAGAGTCCTCGACTTTCATCCAAGGACCGAGCTAATATGGTTCTTTCTTTGGCGTTCCCCGCTTATTAGGAGATTTTTGAAGCCCCTGATTCCAAGAAATCGACCTCGGGCCGAATGAAGTCTTTGCTTTTGCCTGGATTTCAAGTGCAGGCCGTCAAAAGGGAATGCTATCCTCGCTCTGTCGGCCCAGTGAAATGTGAAATACAAGACACCAATGCTCGGTACGTCGGCCACGAGTTCCATTATTAGGCGTGCTTCTCACTCTAGGTCAAGAAACGTCCTAAAATGACCATATATCCACACTTATTACTTTAATTCCAACGAGGCAACGCTTGAAGGGGAGCCGGTTCGGTTATGCTTTGGTTGTCGCACCCAATGAAACATCTTCGTCTCGGCCGGGTGTCAAGTTAGCCAATTCATAATTGCGGTTATTGTTACAATGCTCTATGCCCAGGTGTAGCCGTTGAGATCAAAATCTAGCAATGCGTGCCCAGCGAGATTGAAATCTTCCTCCAGATTCCACTCGTACGACATTGGGGCTGGATAGCCGTTGGATGCGTTGCTATCCTCGGCCCCGGCATTGCTGACTTCCAAGGTGCTACCAGATAGCGATTGATGATCTATTTCACTTCTTTGCTCCAAGTTCGTGTGTGTCAGTGTCGTGGTTGATGGCTGGGTGTAACCAGAACTCAAGGCCGGCACTGACCGAGATGTCCGACCTTGAAAACCTGTTCTAGCATCCTGCATTTTTGCTACAACCTCCTTCATGCTCGGAGCCATATCAGCAAGCAATTTCGAAACTTTGATACACACATCCACCTTTTGCAGGCAAGTTTTGCGCATGTTTACGTCCGCAGAGTTAGCGTCCCGAAAAAAGGTCGAGGCAGCCAGGCAGATATTGATAAGGGAAGAGGGAGGCAAAAATTTGGCCAATCCACAGTTGAGTAGCCCTTCCAGTATTTCAGCCGTTTCGTTTGCTGCCTGGCGCAGGAAGCACCGACTGTAGTCGGTCGGTGGACAGCGGTCGGTGACTGAGTCTGGGCTGACATGCTCGGATATATCGTCCATAAGCATACCGTCCCTGTGGACGAGGAAATGTGCAGCGCAGTAAATCATCTCAAGCACAGATATAGCCCACGTCACACCCCGTTGACTCCCGCCTCTGCCGTCTCCGAGCACATTTTTGCTATTTAGCTCAATGGGAATCTCTGACCGCCAGCGGTAAAGGTCTTGGACCATATATTCTCTGAGAAATGGCAATGGGTTGGCGCGTGGCTGACCATCCCAGGGCGAAAGATCCTCGTGGATATTGCGCATGATGCGATAAATGTGCCAGCAAAGTTTGGCCTTCAAGATGCAGATGGTCGCGAGTGCTGGAGGAAGTGGATCGAAGGCTTGTTGAGTTTGGGAAGCCATGCTATCGATACTGGGAGCTCCATTTTCCTCCAAACCAAGATCGCTCATGTTCAGCATTGGCGTGCCAAACGGCCACACTCGCGGTGGTTGACCTATGGACATGCAAAGGTCGCACTCTTTCATTAGAATACTCCACCACAATATCCGGCGAAGATTCCGCTTCCGCTGCTGCTTGGCTGGATTCATCAGGCTGGCAGGTTCAGACCGGTGCAACTTTAGAACATGCGCTTGAGCAATGGCAGTGCCGAGCCAGTAAGTGGCGTCCTTCAAGTTGCTTCTGCTGGCCCATCCGATGAGAAAGAGCGATGCCTGACAGATGACGATGCGATCTTTCTCAGTCTCCAATTCAAAGAGAGTCTGGTTCATCAAGTCAGATTTCGCATTCCTCAAAGTATGGCTCCCATTCTCACCTTTGCCTTCTCGTAAAACGTTTGTCTGGCCGTAGTCTTACTCATGTAAGCCTGCCGGAGAACGATGTCACTTTCAACGGCTCCCACCCCGGCAAACATGACTGCGTGAAAGAGAAGCAAAGACACCCTTTGCCCTGGTTTCTTACCAAATATTACACTTCGGAATGTTGGCAGATCCAGTACCGGTAGGAGTGGATGCACAAACTCGGTAAATCTGTCCATTATCACTCGTTGAAGTTGCTGGGGCGGCAAGACAAAAACCGCCCTCTGCCTCAAGAATTCTAGGTCGCCAGAACCGCGCAGAGGGAATGCTTCAATAAAATCTGGTAAAGCTCCTGAGTCACTCTGGGGAAGTGGCGGTGGTGAAGACGGCCCTGAAAGCAGACCTTCATTTCTGTCGAGGGAGCTTTCATCTTGCGGAGCAGTATGATTTGGAATCGAAAGCTCTGGCTGCTCCGATAATGACAGGATGAAGCCGTGTGACTCGGAGGTCCTGGCTACTGGCTCACTACGAGTCGCCTTAGATTGCCGCAAATTCCTGAGGCTAGCGTCTGGGCGATTGCTATCGCGATCTTCCCATTCATCCGGTGAGCGTCTTGTTTCTTCAGGTGTGTCGGGAGGCTGCTCAACCATGAATGCCCCTTCTCCGACTATGACTGTCGACCGAGCCTTTGCGTTTGCGTTTCGATTTGCATCAGAGTTCTCTGAAGTTTGCAACGCATAGTGCTCGGTAGTTTTATGACCGCGACGCCTGCATTTCATGACTCTGCATTCAGCACCGTCCAGCAAACAATTTGTGCAATAGCCCGCTTTGTGTGTTACATCACATCTGACCTTGCGCGAGCGACAGCGCAGACATGCCTGGGTAGCTCGACGATGAGTGGCTCCTTTCTTCGCGCGAGATTGCGCTCCGGACACATCTATGACTTTGCTTTGTGACGCGACTCTCAGCCGATCTGAAACCGACAAAGGCGACGAGGTTGATGGTGGCGATTCCGCTGGATGCATGGTTGGCAGTTCGGTGTTTGAGGTCGCGATCTCAGGGAACTTTGAATGTTTCGTCTTTTCATGTGAAAAAAGAGTCTTGCAGTCGATAGTTAGAGTTATCCTCGGGCTAAGATCGATCTTGCACCATCTTGAGAATGCGGGGATTGTCGGCTACGAAAGAAGTTCCACCGGAAATTGGAGACCTACATTCCTGTTTCGGCTAGCGTCGCTCCGCACTGTGTTTAGTGGTGCAAGGCTCTCCTGCTCACAGCCAATCAACGCGAACTCGCACGTAGCCACGCCAAAGCAAGGCTGCATATAACACGACGCCAAAGATCCACCAAGGGGCTGGGGCGGTCTATTTAAACACGGTCTGACACTGTTCTGTACGTCGAGCTGAGACGAGTGAAATGAATCATCGGATGTAGGTGCTGATTTTGCAGAAATCCCTTCAGATTCACGCGTGGATAGCCGGTTTACTTGGTGAGCAAAAGGAAGATCATACTCTGGGCGAAGACGATATTATTCAATCAAGAATATTTCGATAACAGCATACCAGTTGTACAGCAACGATGGTAGCTTGCCGCTCGCTCAATCCACGGTTTCTGGGTGACTGTTGACGAAAACCATAAGTACTCTGCTATAACCGTCCATCCACCTTGCTGAACTTACCATTGTGACTTCCACTAGTAATTACCAACGATATTCATTCAGAAACCCCAGTTGCTCTCTGTGACTGATTGGCAAATATCCTCTTTTTCAAGGAGTTCCAGAATTTGCGCCCTGCGATTTGTTTCGTGTACTTGCTAGCCGAGACTGTCTGTCTTCTATCCACACTGCAATAGTTACTGAAATGCCGATAGTTGGTTGGATATCGTGTTTCCACATGGGAACGGAGCAGAGGGTGCATTTCTTCACGATCTGGAGGACAGCTTCGAGCCCTTTTCAACCTCGAAGGGCTGGAGAGCGCACGGGTGCGATGGAGCGTCCGAGGACAAATTTCCTGAGGCCATTCCTTAATACAAATTGCGAGAAGTAGCCCCAGTGCCGCACCAGCGGCGAAAGGTTGTCCTGCGCCAGCCATTCACCTCCATTCAGGTATTTCAAATCTAGGATATGCAATGGTAGATAGATCAAATTTGTTGGCAGTGATCTAGACTAAAGAGGGGGTTGCTGAAGGCGTTGCTGAGGGCGGCCGCGGCTCGTCGGCTCGCCCTCGGCTATCTGGGGCGCAATGAGATGGCGACCAAGATATCAGACCTTTGGCGAGCATTGGATGCCCTTCCTGTCTGTTTGACCAGGTCTTCGGCATGTTTTGTCGTCCTCGTGAGCGTGTTGGTGAGCATGATTCGCCTACCCCACCTTCGATCCGGTTAACCCATTTCCCGCAGACCCTCGGTTTCTGTGTTGTCCATCAATGCGACCAGGCGAAAGCATATTCTGAGCATGCTCTCCAGGTTGATAACGTTGCGAAGGCAACAGGGCAAATGCCTGAAAGGAAACCCTAAGTTATCCTCCCTACTCGGGTACTCTGACTTCTTTCAGATTGTGGTCACTAAGCACAATGAGTTCCGTCAATGGTGACACGCGTAGCGGAGCTCCTGTGTGTCTTGTCACAGGAGGGGCATCTGGCATGGGACTTGCCGTGGTTGAGCATCTCCTGAAACTCGGCTGGAATGTAGCTATCGTCGACTACAACGAAGAAACCGGGCAAGCCGTGGCAAAATCATGCGGGCCCCAGGCTGTTTTCATCAAGGCAAACGTGGCAGACTATGAAGAGATAGCCGCCGCATTTGCTCGAACTTGGAAAGAGTGGAAACGCCTTGACGCAGTCTATGGTAATGCTGTATGACATAACTCTCCACCCACGGGTATATTCGCAGCTATGAAACTAATCACCTGCCTGCAGGGTATCGGCGACCGGATCAGCTTCTACGCCCAGCAGGAAGATCGAGAGGACGGCACGCCCCCAAAACCCAATACTGCTGTGATTGATATTGATCTCTATGGACCAATCTACTGTGCCTGGCTAGCATTTCACTATTTCCGCAAGAATCCAGACAAAGCCGGCAAACTCATCTTCACATCCAGCATGGCTGGAATCTATACCGGAAGTACAGTTCCGTTGTATTCGGCTGCAAAATCTGGAGTAAACTGCGTGTCTCATCCTTGAAGGGAATTGTGACTGACTGACTGACTCTTACAGGTCGTCGGACTGACGAGGTCCTTAGGCCAACGGCTCAAAGAAATCGGAGAGCCTATCACTGTGAATTGCATATGCCCAGGTAATTTGCATGCATCCCCGGTAACGCTCACAATTACTCATTCTGCCAGGTCTTGTCCACACGGCCTTGACGAAGATCTACTCCTTCACATGCCCAGAAGAATATGTCACCCCTGCTTCCACCATTGTCAAGGCTTTCATGAGTTTTATTGACGATAGTAGCTTAACCGGGCAGGCGGCTGAATGCAGCGGCGAAAACATTCATTACAGGCAGAGACCAGAGTTCAGTGATAACAAGGCAGCTTTCATCTGCGGCGGTGGATTAGGTGAAGCCATGGCTAAGCTGAATGTTAAACTCTACTGATGTTGCTCTAAGTGGGACGCGGTCAACATTCGAAAATGATATCACTCATGGGAGATATAAATTCCTGATAGTCAGATTGCCACTATTCGACCATTCCCTGTAGACACAACGCCATGATGTAAAGTCAGAGAGCTTTGGGGTAAAAGCCTCGGGAAAGGACGTATCCATGACGGGTCCACATTTAAAGTTCCCAATTCATGTATCATTGATGCAGCTGCTAGTCACTCCCAGAAGATTACCGACACAAACTATCAAATCCACACCCATTCGCCCAGCCAGCTCGGTCTAGGATCTGTCAGATTCCGGATAAAACGTTGTTGCGAGACCTTCGAGCTTGCCGGCCTCTCGCCATTCCCTCAGCATGTTAATGACCCACAATGCACTGCCTCCGTACCATTGATTCTTCGCCAGCTTCCGGGTAATTTGGCCCTCGTTGTTATAATATCCAGGCGTACATTCCATGTGGAAGGCCCTCGAGTTCACGCCCGACTCGATGATCGTCTCGACCCACTTGTCCTCGGCCTCTTGAGTCGGCTCGATCGACCGGATGTTTCTCTTCTGGCATTCCGCAACGACGTACGCGAGATGCTCTGCTTGGATGGCGGTGGTATGTAGGAAGTTCGCAGTCACGAAAGCCTGAAGCGTCGTAATCATGAAGAAGTTCGGGAAGTCTTTGCTGACCCAGCCTTGGAAGGTACTGGGCCCATCCGAGAATTTCTCTCCCAACATTTTCCCGTCACGACCATAGACCTCCATTCCAGCACGGTGGCTCCAGCTGGTGGCACGCTCAAATCCTGTGGCATAGATCAAGCAGTCGATCTCGAACTCCTCCCCGTTGGCGACCACACCTCTCTCAGTCAGGCGCTCTATGCCCTGGCCTTTGGTATCGACAAGTTGCACGTTGGGAAGATTGAAGGCCGCAAGATATTCGTCATGGAAGCAAGGTCGCTTACAAAACTGATTATAGTAGGGCTTCAAGCTCTCGGCCGTCGCATGGTCCTCGACTATCGTGTTGACACGTTTGCGGATCTGTTCCATCTTCTGGAAGTCAAGGATCTGTCTTCGTTTTGCCATCTCCTCTTTACCCATCGCCCCCGCTGCTTCTCGGGATGGATACAGGTTGCGAATTATGTCTGTCCATCCGTCATTGACCAAGTCGATATCTTGGTGCCCGCCGCAAACGATCGTGTTGAAATTGTCCATTCGCTCTTTCTGCCATTTGCCTGTGAGGGATTTCGCCCATTCTGGATCGGTAGGTCTGTTGTTTCGTACGTCAATGGAAGAGGGCGTCCGCTGAAATACGTAGAGTTTCTTGCACCAAGGACCAATATTTGGCACAATCTGGACGGCGGTAGCCCCTGTACCAACAATCGCAACTCGCTTATCGGTAAGATTGACTAGGCTTCCCCCGGTGGCGTCGCCGCCAGTGTACTGATAATCCCAGCGGCTGGAATGAAAACTGTGGCCTTTAAACGTCTCGATTCCGGGAAAGCCAGGAAGTTTCGGTCGATGTAGCGACCCGGCAACGCCTACGACGAAACGTGCTTGGATCTTGTCGTTGTGATTCGTTTTGATCGAATAAGTAGCACTGTCTTCTTGCCAGTGTATGCTTAGAATCTCAGTTTTGAAGATAGCCTTTTCGTAAAGTCCGAGTTCTCTTGCAAGTTTCTGTGCGTGCCCTAACAACTCGGGCCCTCGCGCATATTTTTCTTTTGGGACATATCCAACGTGATCCAACATGGGCATGTATACGTAGGACTCGATATCACATTGTACTCCTGGATATCGGTTCCAATACCTGGAAAACCATTAGAGCTGGAACTAGTCATAAGACAGTAAGTGTACTCACCATACTCCCCCGAAGTCTGCGCCTTTCTCAATGATCTTGAAATCTTCAATTCCGTTTTCCTTAAGATTGTGCGCCATTAATTCCCCTCCATATCCAGCGCCAATAATCACCACTTCGGTAGTGATGTCTAACGGTTCGCGCACGTCATTTTGACCCGCCCATGGATCATCGAGGTAGTGAGACAGAGAGCCTTCAATTGCCCGATACTGCTCTACTCCATTAGGATTGGCGCGGATACGTTTTTCCCGCTCAGCAAGATATCTGGCCTTAAGAGCGTCCGGATCGAATCCCAAATCGTCTTTAACTTCCTTAATCGTGAGGTTGCTGGACTTGGTAAGAATAGGCTCAGCTACAGGAGCAACAGAAAGCGTTTCGACAGCCATTATGCTCTAACGAGAGATGAATGAAGATTCCACATATGTGGATGATACTGATGCACAAAGGAAGATATACCAAGACTTCCAAGTATCGTAGGTTCGGAATTGTCAGGAGAGGAGCAGGACGAGAATGTTAACCGTGTACATCCTCGGTCTTAACGAAACAAGCAGGTGCATAAGCTGTAGATAGCCGTATCACCGGCAGCTTTCCCTCCAAATCTGGTGGGACACAGCCATCATGTTCTGGGCCTCGGATGGTGATTGAATATATGTATAGTGGAAGGAGGGTGGTTCCATCAGCTACCTTCATTTTTGAACCAGTCAAAACTTTGAAACACGGACGAAGGACAGGGATCGCAACCCCAGCAGACGGTTGTTGGATAATCTTAGTCGAGTACAGAAGCCCTCCTGCACAGGGTTAGGCTTCTCAGAGGTACCTGTGAATGCTGCGCAGGTCGCTCCAGGAAGCAACATGGTAGAAACAACGTCTGCAGGGAGCGACGCTGTGCATGGGCTTTCGAAGCTATTCCATTTGCGCTCCTCGGGCCTCGGGATGCCAGCTTAATACCCACTCTAAATCTGACGGCGCTCACTCATCAACTGTAGGAATATATGATCCCCAGAGACTTGGTTGGGGGCTTCCCTCGGCAGGATGTAGCTGTTCTTGTGATAGCGCAAAGAAGCACGCCATTCTGTGTCTGGTAAAGCTGATGGGGCTCTCAGACGGATGTGCGTATGCGACGCCAGAAGGGCATTGCCCAGGAAAGTGTGAGTGAAGGGCAAATGCTAGTTTCCCATAAGCTAAGTTTCAATGTCATCGATCGCCTTCTTCAAAGTCAAGGCCACAAAGTATTGTCTTCAGACAGATAGCATCCGGGAATATCAAGCCTGTCATCGGTTTTTCGAACTTGTCAGGACAGCTGCAATGGTATTTTGTTCTGGAAGGATGGACGCTTTTCCTCTTGGCCTTTGTGGCCTCTAACCCAGTCTATAACCATGTCAATAGCATCGGTATCCAAGCCCATCTCAAGCCAAGCCACCTCGCCCGCCAACGCTTACCAAAGCTCTGCGCTGTGCGTCCGATACAGTCAACTCCGGTAAGCTCTTGACGCCATCCTGATCCTTGGTAGCGTTCGGAGGCGGAAGGAACCCGATCTGGACCAGATAGGCCAGATATAGACCGATCTCTCGCTTTGTAACACCACTTCCCGCACTAACGTCCTCTCGAGTCCACTTCTCATCTGCGTAAAGCGCTTTCTCTGCATTGCTGTCATCTAGTTCTGGTGCCCGCGTATTCGAAGGGAGATCATTAGCGACAAACGTGAAGAGTGGCATGAGTGCAAAGTCGGCGTGTGTGCTCACGTAGTGCTCAAGCGATGAAGCCCAAGGAACATAATCCGTTAGGTTCGCCGTATATCCATAGGTCTGGAGTGCCGCAAGGTATTGATTGAATCGTAGTCTTGGGTGCCCCGTGATCTGAGCTACGTTGACTCCGTGAGAAGAGGGAGGATGGAACGCACATGCCACAACTGTTCGAGCAACATGGTTCACTGGGACCATGTTCACTGTGTTGTTGATGTTGGGTCGGGTACCAAGCTGAATGCAGCCCTTCAGCATCCGAATCAAAAAATCGTCGGTATTCGTGACGCCAGTCTTAGAGGAGCCAAGCACATAACCGGGTCTGATAATGCAGCCGCGCAAACCTCGTCGCCCGGCCTCCCGACAGAGGTACTCTGCTACCCATTTGCTCTGACCGTAGCCCGTACCTAGCCCTTTGCGGCTACCCATCAAGTCGTCCGCTTCACTAATGCCTTCGCCTCCAGCGGCGATAATACGTTCCGATTCAAAGACAAAGTGTTCGTGATCGAGGACGCTGGTGGAGGACACAAAAGCAAAACATTTGGGTTTGCCCTGCGCACATATCTTCATCGTTTCAATGGTGCCGAGAACGTTGGCAGGCTTGAGCATTTCGTATGTATTGATCCAATGGACTTGGGCTCCATTGTGGATGACAACGTCAACCTCTTCAACAATTTCTTTCCATCGTGCATCGGAAAGGCCCAGTCGCCTGGGCCCCAGTTCACCCGTAACACAGTGGACTCGAGACTGCCATGAATCATCCCAGACACCGTATGCCTCGCAGGTCGTTTTAATTCGGGATATTGCCGATGCGTCATCTTTGGCTCTAACCAGGACATAGATTTTCTTCACTTGAGGACCATTGCGGTCCAACAGGTCTTTCAAGATAAATGATCCCAAGAAGCCAGTCGCACCAGTAAGAAACACCACTGGCGCCGGAGGAATATCTGTAGATGCAGAGGAGAACGAAGAAGGCAGCGATTTGGCCATTTTGGGGGCATCATCGCCGTATTGATCTTCAGCCGTAACACCGTTGGATTGACCACTGTCTGCACCTCCATTTATCTCAACCGCTTCTCCACCTCCCAAAGAATCAGCAGCCCGTAAATGATCGATTACAGCAGCCATCTCCTTCAGCGTATGCCGGTTGTATATCTTGCTGATCGCCAGATTCACTCCAAGCGTTCTTCTGACCTGGTATGCAAGCTGCTGCGCTTTCATGCTTTCACCACCGATAGCGAAGAATGAGTCCGTTGGTCTAATGGTCCGCGGAATCAATCCTGGAACAAGCTTCGCCCAGATGTGTGCAAGCGCAGATTCCCCTTCCGTGAGCTGATGTAGCATGGAAGACTTGCGCCGTGTTCGAGCCGAGAGTATTCCTGCGTCCGGAAATGGCAGCTTTGGCCTGTCGACCTTCCCATTTGGATTCAAGGGCATTGCTTTCATTGGCACTATGACAGAAGGAACCGCGTATGCAGGTAGCTTCGTTCGCAGGTACTCTTGCACCTCGGTCTGGAGCACTTGAAACCGTTCCACCCTCCCAATCAGAGTTCCGTCGTCTGGAATGTCCTCCTTGCCCTTTTCCGCAAGGAATTGTGACCATGCCTTCATTTGCGGCACAATGTAGCTGACAAGTGTCTGTTCCTCAAACTTATCTCTTCGGACAAGCGTGACATTTTCGCGCACAAGAGGATGTCGAGACAGATGCGTATCGATTTCTCCCAGCTCGATCCGGAAGCCTCTAATCTTCACTTGATCATCAGCCCTGCCAGAGCATTCCACGTCTCCTGTTGGTGTGTAGCGGCCGAGATCTCCACTTCGATACAGGCGATCTCGAGGCCCGAGGTAATACTGCGCCCAAGGTTCATTCTTGTATTTCTGCTCAAACCAGGCTTTATCTGATTCCAGACCTTTTTCATGATCTGGAAACCAGTTATCCACGAATTTCGTCGCTGTAAGCTCAGGAGTTCCCAGATATCCTTCTGCAAGTCCTCCTGCTCGAATGTATATTTCTCCGATTTCGCCAACTGCACATAGCTTAGTGCGGTCAAAGCGGTTTATGACGAGCATCTGAACGTTATGCATTCCTCTGCCGACGGGGATGACGTCTTTCATTCCATCCAGGAAGCCATCATTTTCATTCCAAGAGGGTATCTCATAGAAGCTCACCGCTCTAGAAGTTTCCGTCGTGCCCCACATGTTGACGATGCGCACGTTAGGTGCTAGATTCTGTAGGGATCTGCAGTCCCTCTTGATCAAGATATCGCCCACGAAGAAAGCATGGTGAAGCTTCTCGAATTTTGCTGTTGCGCCTCCGACTAAAATCTGACCCATGGCTGGTGTCAGATGTGTCACTGTCGCGCCATATTCTTTCATCCACTCGGCTAGGAGCTCATTCTGAATGTCATTTTTGGATGGCACAAGAATCTGTGCGCCCAAGAATAGAGGCGTGAATATGTCTCTTTGAATCGGATCGTGTGCGATGCCGCTGAGCATGGTGAATTTATCTTTCTCAGATAAATTGAATCTCTTCGCCATCCAGTCGTAGTAGAATGCCAATGAATAATGGCGGCCCCTGACGCCTTTCGGTTTGCCTTCAGAACCAGAGGTGAAAGACAGAGTGGGCACGGAATCGGGTCCAACCACAACACCAGGACCTTTGGCTTTGAGACTCCGCGTAGATGCAAAAATATCCTTTCCAGCAACTTCGCCGCCCTGGAGAAAGCCATCATCGCGCAAACGCAAAGCCGGAACTTCTGTCTTGAGATCCAGGTTGTCATTTATGAAACCTCGCACCTTGTCCGACAGTTCGCCGGCATCTTGTGTGGCTTTATCTATGATGACAAGCGCCCTTGGTCTTGAGACGTCGAGGTAGATGTTTTGTCTGTCAGGTGGATAGGCGGGATCCAATACTGAAAACGTGCCACCAGCTTTTAGGGTGCCCATAATGGCAACTACTAGGTCAACTCCTCGATATGAGTATATCATGACGACATCGCCCCTCCCCAGGCCAGATTGGACAAGATGATGTGCCAGAATATTGGAGGATTCGTGTATTTGTCGGTAAGTAAATTCCCTTTCTGGGCCATCCTCAGATTTTGTCTCTATTACGCAAGTCCGGTCAGGATGAGCTTCAGCATTTGCAGCAAAGATATCGTGGATAGCGCCACGGAAAGACGACCACTCCATATCACTGGTTGGGTTGGGAAGAAGGGCTTGCTCCTGAGGGGTGGCGAACACGATCCCACCAACAGGAGCATTGACATCAACTGCGGCGTTTTCCAGCAGTCGTGTAATCTGGGCGAGAATACCGGCTACCCTTGCACTCGAGACAAGACGCTGGTTGTATCGCGCAACCAGTCGAAGGTCGCCTCCAGCCGAGCATGAATAAGTCAGCAAGAGGTCGGTTGTTTCAGCACCGCCGGGTAGACTAGCACCATCGTCATTGCTGTCGAAAGCAGCAAAACGAAACAGGACCGGCCTCTTTAGACTTGTCTGAATGTCTGCAAGAGGGACGACCCTCTCAGCCGCCTGCGCAGCCAGCTCTTGCACTGTTTTGAGCAGCTGTGAGAATGGCTCGGAGGCGGTAACAGCAGTTTTGAGAACGAACGGAGGACCGTTAGTTTTTACATTAGTGCCGATGCTGATATCCTCGTCGCCCGTTAGTCTGCTCACCAGAACAATGAGAGCTGTTTGAATGACAGCGGTGAATGAGGCGAGGCTGGACAGTGTCTTCAACGCATGTCTGGTAGTTGCCGGCGCAGCAAGGGACTCGACTGCTTCAATGGGCCTTTTGGGGACATTCTCCGCGGTAGCCTCAGGGTAGTCTCGGGTCAGCGGTGATATTGTTTGATCTTGCAAGTGCTGAGTCCACCAAGCTAGGCGCTCGTCTTGAGCAGTTCCCGTAGCCATTGCTGACAACAGGTGAGGAAAAGAACTGAGCCCCAAGTGAGTCAACCAGACTAGAGTCTCCAGACTTGAAAAGAAAACGGAAAAATTAGATTTTGCGGTAACTGGGTTCATGATCGACCGGAGAAGTGTCCGTCCGCCGATGCACGAGGATCTGTGGGCCTGCCAAGAGCCTGACATCGGGCTTGGCAGAATTGGGCTCTCCTATTGGTCAGCTACTCGGCAGCCTTGTGTTCCCCAGACTTTGAGAGCTGTCACAATTTCCAATGGCGCAATCACCGACGATACGAGGTACAATCAACGTTGTTGACTGGATTCATCCTGCAGCATCAACATCCTCGCAAAATGTTTCTGTTCTTCCAATAGATTTCCTTTGCCGCGTTCAAGCATTCAGCTCTTGTTTCTGCTTCTTTCCACTTCCAGCCTGTCGCTCGCTTCTTCCCCAGGCGCGATGCCTCCACGGCATTTCACTAGGTACATTGCCATTGCGGCAGTCTTCATTTGCGGCCTCATAATATTTTCTTCGACGTCGAGCTCGTCCACCGCTGCCGTGATCGATGCGATTCCATATCCAGAAGGCCTCCGAGACGTGATACCCAAACTCACTGTTCCCAACCTCCGCTGGTCTTTCCAGAGCTCTGCGCACAAGCCTCCCGAACAGAAGAATAGTACACATGGAGACAGTTCTTGGTATAGCGATTGGAAATGGCTCAACCCCTTCTCCTCCTCTGTGACACTCGACGAGGATCGCGTCGTCTTGCCTCCTCTGGCGGAACGGCCTCCGGTCTACACATTCTATGACACTTCAATCGAAAGAGATGACAAGACAAAGAGCATCGACAAGGAGTTTCTATTGACATGGAGGCGAGCTTGGTGGGCTCATGGGTTTCGACCGGTGGTTCTGACAGACGCAGAGGCTATGAGCCATCCACTCTATCAGACCTTACACGCGAAAGGCATGCCGGCGGTCCTTGAGCAGGAGTTCCGGCAGTGGTTAGCTTGGGCTCACATGGGTACCGGTTTGCTTACAAGCTGGTACTGCTTACCCATGGGCCCTGTTGACGACGCCCTTCTATCTCATCTGCGTCGAGGGCAATATCCTCAGCTTACCAAGTTCAAAGGCTTGGGATCTGGTTTGTTTGCCGGAGAAAAGACCCAAATAGAAGATGCAATCAAGTCCGCACTCGACAATGTCAAATTGAGCTCCTTCAAAACCATCACGGATGCCATCGACTCGGAGCGTTTTGAAGTGGAGCAGCCGACATCCATCGCTTATTATGACTCCAAAACGATAGCCTCCAAATACCCTGTTCTGGCAGAAGTAATCGCCAAGGATGAGAAGAAAGGTCGACGCTCACTCAACCAACTCATGATTGCACATCTTCACGTCATGTGGCAAAACACTTTCAGCGCTGGTATTGCGGTCTTACAGCCTCTTGCAGCTCACACCTTCACGCTTGTGCAGCCATCCAAGGACCTAGCCCGCCTTCTTGCAGAATGTCCCAGTTCTATCTTGCAATCGTCTTGTCCGCCGAATCGACCGAAATGCACACCGTGCACCGGTTCGAAGTTGAGAATCACCACCGCTCCTTCTTTCCGGAATACGTCTTCCTTGTTTACAATTGCTGTTGTGCCTCACCCTTATACGATGATTACACTGACAAATCAATCTGATGCCGTATCTGTCGCCCATATAAGACGGCATACTGAACGAGATCCTTGGATAACTGCGGTCACGCGGGATCTGCTGGGAGACGGTCGTGGTGGCCCAAGCCGCGTGGTGGCCTTAAAGGACGCGGTGGCATCAGAATATGGCAGCAGTCGTTCCTTATGGTTTACAACCGAGCATTTCCCTGCGTCTTTTAATCCACCGCCCCCTCCACCAAAGTCGCCCACTAATGAGGCTCGGCCAGCAAGAGAGGAAGTTTCTCCATTTCCGGAAGACTGGCTCATGCATCTCGACTGGCACTTTGGCTTTCCCGTTCCAAGGACGACAGTGTCTCATGGTGAGTCATTGCCTCCAGTTCCTGGACCTGAGCGTTGGGCCAAACTTCCTGCCGGTCTTCCTGTGGATCGTAAGAAGGCATCTGATCCTGATCCGCCTACAGAAGAGCAGGCTGCAATCGAGGCCGATCTCTTACGGAAAGCAAGGAGCACCATTAACAGTAAAAACGCAGCTGTGCTCAAGATCCGTAATGTGGCAGAGGCATGGAATCTGGCCGACACGGAGGCTTGGAAGTTCGTGAAGGGTTTCCGAGCCCGCCAGGTCGTTGAGAGATTGAAATTTGAGGACGAGGAGTCTGCGTACGAAACTGAGGGCGTGAGAGGCAATAGTCGCTGGTGGGGTTCATGATCGAACTGAGCTCGGCGTAATTGATGCCGATGTTCTATGCCATGAGGTACCGCGGTCGTTGACGGACCTCAAGCTTAGGGCATCGGCTGAGCGCGCCTGCCCCGACCAACCAACCAGGCCGTCGTCAAAAGACTTGCTGTGTTTGTGGCGTACACTTGGGCCACACGAAGACCGCTATCTGGTAAGCGATGCACAGATACAAGAGATACACTGTTTCCGACATATTTGATGCATGTGGTGGACTGAGCTCGATCATCCATCGACGCCACAGAACCCGACGCAAATATTGGAAGGCATACTCCACGACGACATTGGCGACAAATATGGCGAAAAGAAACTGTACAAAGTGCCATCCGCTAAGCATGACAAGATGTCTTGACAAGTTCTCCGGGTTCTTTGCAAAAATTTCAAAGGGGTCGAGGATAGTATACCAGTATGTGGCCTTGAAAGCTTGCTCGAGGACGAACGAGCACACTTCCGATATATCAATCGACATCGGCATTCCCAGCACCAGGTTGATCTGCGTGACGGTTGGCTCAGTTCTGCTCGTTCCTACGTCAGCTTTTCCTCGTCAAGAGTCACCTGGGACCCAGAATCAGTTGTCGTCAATCTTCTTGGGGGGTTTTGCGATCTTGTGATGACCAACTTCGAATGGGTGTCGGATGAACGTGACATTGTAGAGCCCGCCGACTCTATTGAAGCCAAGTTTGGATCGTCTTGGAGCAATTGCATTTCTCCTTGAACATCAGATATCGGTGCTCGATTTAATCGGCGGGTTCTCAACGAGCTGTTATTTAGCCTGCCTGATAAAGACGGCATTTCGCTCGAATTGTGTCGAGGCTGTTGAGCCAGATCCAACTTCCTTTGTGATGAGCGCATCTTCGCCGCAGCGGAGGACAATGCGGAGGGGTAATTGGGATCGAAAGTCCCCGGATTTCCCGGTATGTCGGTCTCTTCTGTCGAAGACAGCTCCAAACCGATATGCTCCTCAAAGATCGGTATTTGCGATACCCGATTGAGCTGTTTCGAAGGTGCTTCCCAGGCTGAAGAGTTTACACTGCGTCGTAATGAAGAAATGCTCAATGGAAGGGATTTTTTGCTCGAAATTGGCAAGGACGGGGCATTGCTGTGCTGCTGGACCACTGTAGCACCAGCAGAAATGGGGTTCTGATGCTTCCTAGGACACAGGAGAATCCCCTCCCAGTCGCCGTCCCAAAGGCCCATCGCCATGTCCGCCAATTCCCATGCCATTCTCGTCTTCAGGTCAACGCTCCTCATAACTGAAGCCATCCTACCCTTTCCAGCCACTTCCGCGAGTGTCGCACAGCACATACCGTGATCACATGGTGCCCAACCCTGCTCAGTCGGTCGAGGCCACTGACCTCTCGCAGCCAACTCGTCCCTGATCAGTATGTACCTCAGATGTATCAACTCGACAATCCTTCGTGCGTTCCTTGCTTCCATTTGTCCGGCCTCGTCATCTGTGGCAAAAGTCGCATTGAATGCGACTGCGATGCTTTCGTACGGTAGACTTGTGGTTAGGTGATACCACATCACGAAACGCACGTGGTGTGGTGGCCAGATGTGTCGGATGGACATGTCGTTGAAGTCATTGACGTGGTCCTCCACAAGGAGATGCTGGCTGAGTTTGTCCGCGGAAAGGGAGGGTTTGGAGGATCTAGCCTTGTTTTTCACGCGGCTGCCGCGCCCATTCGTGGCGACCGAAGCCGAGATCATTGTTGACAAAAACTCAAAGTCTGCCTCTTAGTAATGGAGCGAGGATTGTGTTTGATGCAGGTCGACATGGCTTGGGGCTGAAATGTGGGAGGCTGGTTGTTTTATTTTCGGATGAGGAATGTAGTGTTTGAAGGACTTTCCATATTGAGCACTTCTATGCTGTCCACCTGTCGTCTAGGGCTGTTGCATTCCAGATAGACGAGAGAGGGCTAATTCGCCAGAAGAGGTGGTGGGGTGACATACATATTTACACTAGGAATGTGACCACTTGGGCCTCTAAAAACCACCATTATCTGTTCTGATATTGGGCTCTCTTTCCATGGCAGCCGGATACCTGCTACTGTAGAGAAGGTTCCAGCAGCCCTGTTATGTCTATTTTCTCGTGAGAAAGATATATGAGCGAAGCCAGCGCTGAACTCGCGCTTTGATTTCTTCGTGCACATATAGATAGGGTCGTCACATTCAACATGTGCGGAGGGAACCTTAGTTCCGGATTCCAGGCCGGAATGCATTGGTTGTCCTGGGGGAGCCAAGTGACCCTATAGACACCGAGAGCTTCAGGGAGGATGAGTGTCTTCGGTTTTGGATTTATGGTGCCCTTGAGATACACTACACGACTTCGTTTACACTGACACTTTGTTAGGTGTTTACTTCACCCATAGGGGATTTAAAGACGCAAGACTAACATTACGGCCGTCTCGGCGGAGCCGCTCCAGACCTCACTTGTCATCTCTCACGCGGCAGACAAGCTCGCCAGCATTCTCGTTGCCTTTGCCGGCGGCGCGTCCTTGCTGGACCCCCTATGTGCGAACTGTACTAACGTTCCAGACACGACAAAGCCTATTCCCCCCATCCACCCAATTCCAAATTGTGTGGAGGCCAGCAGCACTGGAACAACCAACCTAGCTGGCCAACACTTCTCGCCCTACGAGGATAGAAGAGAACACGCATGGAGAAATTAGAATGAGCGTGCAGTGAGTGAGGTGAGTGAGTGGGTCGCGCATCCATGAGTCGGGAGTCAGAGTCCGCAGGAAGGATCGTGACCGTGCATTTTGGTCCGAAATTGGAAGGAGATACTTGGGGGCAAGGTTGTTCAATATATGTGGTTTATTATTATACGGAGTAATAGGATTCTCTTACTTTACTCCCTTGGCAGATGCAGATCCTTTGCTAAGTATGGGCCATGAAGGGGCCGTGACGGGAGGAATTAGGGAATCGAAAATAACCGGCAAAATCCTGCATCGTCCCCAAGGCCTCCAGAGCCTAAGTAAGTAGTAACAATGGGGGGAGGCCCGAGGTCAGGAATCTGGCTTGTGGAGGCATCTTGCATGTAGATTTGTTGATCTGTCCGTGTCTACGTCTGCGGTGGATGACGTCCAAGGACGTCCCAAATGGAGAAATCCTGGTAGCATCGTCGCCGCGGAGCACGGAATATGTATATACGGGTGAGCACAAAAAGGGGCAACGATAGGGGCATCGCGGTGCAGAATATCATACTCCTCATGACAGAAAATTAAGGAAAAGAGAGCAAGCTGGCGGTGAGGAAAACAAGAATTCGGCTGAGGGTATTATTGAGGTTGCTTAGACCATCTAGGTCGGACACACCATGGCAGTGATGGGGTACATGTTTGGCCCTGTATGCCTAGGCTGGATGGATTATTCGACTTCAACACCGCTGCGACAGCGGTTTGCAGGGTTTAGCGATTGGCGGGATCTTCATTGGATAATCATGCTCTCTACTCATACCCGTTAAAGCTCGTTCAGAGCGTCCACCATCTCCCTTTATGTCAATCTGATATCAAGCAGTCGGAGCTCAAACATCGGCCGACTTCTCCGTAATCTCTTCGCGATCAGAGGCCACATAATCGTCTGAGTCGAACTTGTAGAGCTGTGGAGGAGTAAGACCCTTGCGCCGCAGAATTTGGGTCTTGAACCAGTACGGCATGACCTGGTTGAGTTGGTAATGCATATGTGTGCGAGTGGGCACGGCGAAGACGTAATCCAACTCTTCGAGGGTTCGCTGCTTGGTCTCCGGAAGCCACAAGAAGATCATGACGAACGCAATAACGTTAAGTCCGGCGTAGAACCCAAATGCGCCCTGTGGTTTCATGGCTTGGAGCATACGCGGGAAGGTAAGAGACAAGACTGACGCCCAGAAGTTGTTGGTGGCCACGGCCCAGGACATGCCGACTTCACGATGCGACAGCGGGAACACTTCGGCCGAGTAGGTGAACGGAACAGGCCCTTCTCCTGGCGAGTAAAAAGCGTCGAACAGGAAAATGAACAACGCAATCAGGCCGAGGTGGGCGTTGCTGCTTTCGGGGATCCAGAAACAGAAGCCGGCCGCCAGCAGGGTCCAGCACATGTTGGGGAATGTAAAGAGCAACAGAGCTCGTCGGCCGAAGGTATCGATCGTCCAAACGGCAGGCCAGGCGAAGAGGAAATTGACCAGGCCAAAGCCCCAGGACGCAAGCAAAGAGCCAGTCACGCTAGCTCCGGCATTTGAGAAGACAGTGGATGAGTAGAAGGCGATAATGTTGATGCCACACATTTGCTGGGCAATCATGACGATGCCCGAAGCCTGAGTTGCACGTCGAATACGCGGGATGGTGAAGAGTTCAACGAATCGAGTGAAAAAATTGCCGTGAGTGGCGACGGCAGACTCCTCCACCAGGATATCTTCCTGGACAAGTTGGGCATGAATGTAGTAGAGATCCCGAGCCGCTTGCAGAGGGCTGTTCCGGAGTCGGAGCAGAGCTTGATATGCTTTGGCGTGACGGCCTTTCTTCATCAACCAACGAGGAGACTTTTTGACGGGTTAGCCGAGAGCCTCTAGGAGCTGTGCTTTCCGACTTACCTCTGGGCACAAGAAGATACCAAGCACCAGGGGCACCGCCGGAATGAAAGCGGACCCCAATTGCAGGCGCCACGCTATGTCGCCAGTGTCTTTGACCGCCAGGTTCGCGCAGGTACCGAGAAAAATGCCAAAGGCCGTCCAGACTTGCCAACTCATGACGAGACCACCACGGATGTTTGTTGGGGACTGTCTTGTTGTTAGCGCTCCAATCCCGTGTCGGCAGGGGAAGAAGCTTGGGGCTTCTCTGGTCCTGAGTCTAGCGAGACTTACGTTTTCAGCCGAGAAGACGGGGACCGTGACTTCTTTGAGACCCATACCAATACCTAACAGAATACGCGTTGCGACCAATTGACCCCAGTGTTGAGTGCAGGCCGACCCGATCGGAGCGAGCAGGGAAAAGATGGCACCGACGAAGATAGTTCCGCGACGGCCAAGGATATCATTCAAGGGATCCGATATCCATCCGGCACTGCAAAGATTAGCATGTATCCAGGCCAATCAGGAGGTCAAGGCATACAAGAAAGCGATGGCGATGTAAGGGCAAGAGTTGATGAAGCCAATGAGCCATGAGTTGTTTTCGCAGTTGCCCGCGGCTTCACAGACAGGACCGGAATCAGGGATACCGAAGGCGACGGGGAAGGTCAAGTTGGCACCATTGGAACCTGTCTGATCCCAGCCCTGAATGGCGGCGGCGATCGAGTTGAGGATGATAGTGAAATAGAGGGTCTTGGGGTGTCTCCAGCGGTGCGTGACTTCCTCGCGGAGGAGTTGACGGTCGGACTCGTCGAGTTCGGGAATATGCTCGATAGCATGGGGGCTCTGGGCGACCAAGGCCCCCTTTTTCAAGAGTGGCAGAATATCGGTCAGGGTATTCTCGTTGGCGTAGTTTTCGACATCCTGGAGCATCTGCTCGCGCGGAATCCCGACCAGAGGATTGCGGACTCTGCACCAAGGTCAGCGAGGGCAGCATGGCACGGCCATTTGAAGCTTGACTCACTCTCCAGTAGTGTTGGATGTCAGTTGAGCAACACTGGCCTTGCGCTTGGACTCATCGGCGAAGAGCACGCTGGGCCTGCGGTGCTCTGAGGCAATGGCATCCTTGTGGTCAGCCATGGTCGGCAGTCAGGATGTCTGGGTGATAGTGAGTGTACAAAGCACAAAGCAGGATGACACGAGACAGGGGGAAGGAAGGACCAGCTGAGCAGGAGGGGAGGGACGACGCACTATTTATGAGTCTGTGCAGGGCGAAGACAACTTCAGTGCCCCAATGGTCAATAGAGAAGAGCGACGATCAGCTCCAGGGACGGTTGGCCTCGCATACACTGGAGATGGCGTGCTCCTCCTCATCTCAACCCCCTGGTCACTCGGCTCTCCATCCATGATGGACCATGGTACCCTGTGCAGCTTGTGGCACTTGCAACTCAACAGCATCAGCATGTGGAGGAACTGGGGAGGGCGGCGAGGGCGGACAGAGCCAAGGTCTGGAGTGACGCTGGCCGCTGGTCGAGTTGCGGTTCGGGAATAGGAACATTGTTGGGCCGAGAGAGGAGAGCTAGAGAGCTGGGGAGCTGGGGAGCGGATGGGCCATCACACGACTCGACAGGGGGGAAGGGGGGCAGGGGGGAAGGGAATGGTACGCAGGATCCTGTACTGGGTACTGCCTCGCTGGGTACTCGGTATTGTGCAACATCAATGGCAAGGCTTGGGCCAACGAGGACATGGTTTTAGGGTTCAAGAAACTTGGAATGCAGTGACGGGCAGTAGTTTGACGTGAGAGAAGCCAATGGGAACGGTCGAGTTGGGGACTAAGATGGAGCCACCAGCACTAGAGACGCCTGTGCGCAGTCACCGCAGTCACTACCCAGTCCAGTCGCCCTCTCACGTCGCCCTCACGGTCGCCCTCACGATCGCCCTCACTTCGCCCTCACTTCACCCTCATGCTCGCCCACAGACTCCTCCTCCTCCTCTCCACCTCGACTAACTTAGCAATTCGCCCTCGATCGCCTTTGGCCTCCCCCCCTCGTCGCGCCGAGATGCCTTTGCCGTCCTTGCGGTCCTCGCGCTTTGCATCCATCTCCTGTTAGGGTACCCTGTACTTGGCCATCACTACCTAGTATTGCTAGGTACATATCATTTTGAGTTTCTGCAATGGTCGAGACGGCTGAATGAGGACTGACTGAACTTGAAAGAGATCCACCTCTGCAACGCTCCCCAACGCCCTGTTGACCTGACAGACTGCCCTCCCTTACCTCTCCTCCACCCGACCGCCGTCCTTGGGGAGAATTCACAAGCAGATCAATCCTTGGCTTCCCAAAAGCTTCAGAATGCTTGGGTCACAACAAGAAGCAACAAGAAAACGCCTTGCGCAAGAGCTGGGGAACACTTTGGGGCGCCGGGCTGGGATTCCGCCTTGTGATCGACCAGCCAACACTCCTATCTGGGGGATCCGTCTTCTGGGCTGACGGCTCAAACACCGCGGCCAAGTTTAGTGGCGTCGTTAGCCCTGGATGTCCAATCCCCCCAGCCAGCGATCGGCAGATGACATGCTATTTCCAAACTCAAACTCATCATCCCTTGCTGCTGGCCAAATAGCAATCGGAATCTAGGATGGATCACAGGCTAGACGTGTTTGACTTCCACACCCGCTTCCATGACATAGGCCAAGCAGTTGGAATCATGGCGATCCTGGCGAGCTGGACACCACGACTGCTTCGTCCTAAAGATCATTCCGTTGAGTTCTAGAACAAGTGAAGGAAGGGAAAAAAAAAAACCTTTCGATAAAAGACCCTCATTCCACAAAACATGTCCGACTTTGTGGACCAAGGTGGTACTGGGGGCACCCGACCCCCGATCACCGGTCAGACAGAGCGGAGACTCTGTGTACCTTGTGCCTGTGCGTACTCGGGTTGTAAGAAAGGGATAACTCGCACCGAGCCACAAGCAAAAAAAGGACCCATCAGAGTTGCCACAAGCCCTCGGACTTCCAACGGTTGAGCCATACAACCCAGGTCTTTGCTCTAGGCGAAAACGCCTCCGGAACGAGCAGCGGCGGGATCGCATCGACTTCAAAGGTAGGGTGGCTTGGGCTGGGGGCCTCACCTACCCCCCTCCAGACCTACGGGCAACGCTAAGCCTAACAGCGTAGCTGGGCAGACTTTTCTCGAACATTTCCCTCTAGGGACAGGGCATCTGATCGCGATCAAGCCTTCGTTTCCGTCTTGGCCAACGCCACAGTGTGGGATCGTGGAGTTGTGGGCGCACCAGGCGCACCTTACTTCCCCCCTCTTTTAACAAGTACAACGATGGGTGTGAGTCAGCATTGGGGTCTGTCCTCAGCACAACCCACCATGTATTGCAGTCTGTCGTGGTTCTATACCAGGTCCAGCAAAGTGGTCAACTCTACCTTTTACTAGTATCGTCGCTTGGAATGGCTCGAATCGCACGACCAGGAAAATGCCGCAAAATGTGGCTACAATCATCAACATAATCCCCCCTTGGTCCCTTGACTTCTGCATCAACCCTCTTTGGGCTAAGGTACTTTTGCCAACGAGGAAAAAGACGAGTTCCCCAGTGGAACCTCAACTGATGCCTGAGAAGGAAGCCATCGACTTATCACAAATGTAAAGATGTTGAGGGGGTTCTCAACGTATCCCGCATCTCTTTAGTTCCCCAGCCTCGTCTCCCGCCTTGTCTCAGCCTTTCCCTCAAACAGCGCATTCCAGCCGAACCCGTTCTATTGCATCCATACATCCATGCGAAATGTGACCCCGGTATGCAGAGGCAGATGATGTGGCCTCAAACACGGCACAAGATGATGGAATCCTAGCTCTTTACGGGGTATTCGGACTGACCGGACCAATGAGCACCCATACTTCTTTTACGAAGGAATGGTGCAGGTACCCAAGCTGACGACCATATCTTTCCACAAAAGACAACAAAGAAATGCTCTAACTGATAAAGACAATGGAAAGTTCAACAATACGAATTGGAGGGCAAACGGTAGAGAAGAAAACGCCTCTATCCAATCTCTGCAGTCACCCGGCAGTCTCAACTTCTTATTCCTCCCGTCCCAATCCACTTCACGACGAAATTCATTTGCTATGCAAATACGAGGGGCAGATGTTCGCATGCACTAACGATTCCAGAGTCATGCAATTCGTCATTGGGTGTCTCTTGAACTCCAAGAACCCCAGTCACAGGTACTCTCTAGAGAGGTTCCACCACTATGACATTCAGCCCGGATGTTTTTACCATGACCGCCTTGTCGCTTTGTCGTCTCAAGTGTCTCGACCTTCGAGGCTTGATGAAAATCATACCTACGTACGTCACCGGTGAGCTTACTACAGAGGCCATTCTCATCATACTAGGACCCCGCGGGCAAACATCCTAAGCTGCCTTGTCATATTTGGAATGTTTACCCTTCCTCATGGATTGTGGACCCGGTCGCGGCTTTCTAAGATGTAATGTTCAGCATGAACCATTTGGTGCCCAATGTTCCAATGGAAAAGATTGGTAGGTACTATATCACACCATCCTGGAAAGTTACTTTCAATCATCTGCTCAAAATTCCACCATGCCGGAGCAGGACGGGGGAAGGCTAGCTAAGCATCCCCTTCCTAGCTCTCCGCTCTCAACCTCGTCTGCACCCTCGCCATGTTCTCACCCAAATTCCAGCCTGCTCCTGCTTAGTCATGACCGACCGTCCGAGAGCGCTGGCTGTTTCGGAACGGAGTTCACACAACCTCGCGCGCATGAGATGCTTTATCCACTGGCCACTAGCTAAGATAGCGAGGTAGACAGGGACCCCGTGAAGTCGAAACATCTGTGATGTACATATAATTATCACACACGTGGACACCTAGTCAAGAATTAAATGACCGCCTGGAGTCAAACCACCTCCAGGCCCGACCAGCTCCACGATTCTATCCCCGTCCAAGCACGGTGAGCTACACATTGAAGATCTAAGAGGCCTAAGTATCTTACAGGATCCATCTCGTTCATCCTCCGGGGGTGAAAAATCTCATTCATCATGTGGAAATGGAACCAAAGCGAAATACTTAGTTCATGTAACAAAAAGATAGGGGAAAAGGCAAAGAAAAGGACCCCATTCATCGCACAAGGACAAAACACGCAATTGGGAGTGAATCGCTTTTTTGTTACATTCGTTCTTCTCAAGCTGCTCGACTTCTCCAACGAGGGCGCGCACCCGTGCGTGCAAGCACCAAAGTCCGTGCCTGGTGATGCGTGCCTGGGTCTGTCGCTCCCAAAAAACCGAATTTTTCCGGCTGAAACTGTTCTTACATGTCGGCGGCAATCAATTTATACACTCATTCACAGGACCGTTGCTGAACAATTCCGGTCATCTTCTCTCAACAACTTCCAAAGTGACGATCGCAGCTTTCGCTGGGCGCAAAATCAATCATCTCACCCTCCTAACGCGGTGTTCGTCCCGCCCTCTTCTCCCTTTCTTTCCTTTCTTTGAGTCTTTACCCGGTCCAAGCGGGATATCTTTCATAAGATACCTTTGTAATTGAATGAGGTACTCGTCGATATGATGGATCCTCTCTTCTTCGTCCTGTGGCTGGGTAATGGCTGTGTCGGTGGCTCCAAATGGCTCGCCCGGCACAACACCAGATGCAGGTGTACTTCTTGCGTCGCCTGTCTGAGTTCTCGGCGTGGCACTAGCCCTCCCATCCTCAAAATCACCCTCGTCGGCATGCTGCAATTCTCTAGCCGCGACCTTGGCCGCTACGCGATCCTCTTGATCTTCGGCTTGCTCCAGCTCCTTGATACTACTGTTTTCGTTACCCAAGACACGGTCCATCGCCTTCCCAGCCTCATCCTCCTCGGCATTCTCATCAAGCATGTCCCGATACGTCATCCTATTCATGTAGTCCGTGGTGAAGTCGCCCTCCTGGATGACCACATCATCGAGCATTTGCTTTTGGTTGGCTTTTCGAAGGATGTTCGACTCAATGGTATGCTCGGAGACGAAGCGGTAAATGTGGACGTCTCGTGTTTGACCAATGCGGTGCGCCCGGTCAGTGCATTGCTTGTCCATGGCAGGATTCCAATCAAGGTCGTAGAAGATAACGGTGTCTGCTCCGGTTAAGTTGATGCCGAGTCCACCGGAACGGGAAGAAAGGATGAAGCACAAGATGCGCGTGTCGTTGTTGAACCTCTCGGTGAGTATTTGTCGTTGCTCAATTTTCGTGGCGCCGTCGAGTCGCAAGTATCGATGGCCGTGAATGTTGAGGAACTGTTCAAGGATATCGAGAACTTTGGTCATTTGCGTGAAGATCAGTGCGCGGTGGCTGCCGGCTTGGAGTTGGCGGAGTAATTTGTCTAGTCTTTGCAGTTTGCCACAGTCGTATTGAAGGAGGCGTTTGTCAGGAAACGCGATGGAGAGCTTCATGCGGGCGAGGTGGAATGGATCGTCCTCGTCATCCCTCTTCAAGGTTGATTCTGCTGCTTCTCGTATCGCTTGGGCTCCGGCTTCTGTTACAGTCCTGGCGTAGAGATCTGTGGCCACAACAGCGGGAGTGACACATGCGTATTTGTCAACGAAGGGTTGCATCTGGCCAGACCTTGACTGAACAGAATGTATAAGATTCAAGGACCGCATTGGCTGGTCTTCATCCCATAATCTGCTCAACACCCTCCGCGGTGACAGTTTCGACAGTCTCTCATAAGTTGTATTTATGGTCAACTGGTCAATCAGTCCACATCCGTAAATTGGATGCTGATGGTGCTTGTAGGCTTCGTAATACATCGTACGGTCCAACTCCTGAAGCCGCGCTCTCCGACCAACATTCTCAAGGGATCCGAGTACACCGCGCCGAGTCTCGCCGCGCCACGAGGTGGCATTATCATTATGGATACTATTGCGGGAGGACGACAAGACCCGTCGGGATTGAGCCTCCCTCAAGTCCCTGAGTTGGTTGTATGCATGTCGTTTAGTAGTCTCGATTACCTCAATCATTGACAGCCGCTCTTCCGAGATGGGTACCAGCCGTAAGAAGTCGAGGTCTAGATTGTTCGAGGCGTCCAACATAAGTCTCCGACGCACCAAAAAATCCTTAATCTCGAAGTCAGCTGCTGCAGATTTGTGCATGGCGAAAGACGTATTAATCGGTCGTGTTTCAAAAAGGTCAGGGTGATTGCAAACTTTACGCAGCTGCATCAGGGCATTGATGATCGATAAATAGTTGCCGGAAGCCAGCGTTTCCTTCGTCTGCGCTCTCGACATGAAGCCGTCGTATAATTGTCGCTGACGTTTGGATAGACGACACATCTCAACGTGTTCATATTTGGCTGGCATCTGTTTCTCCACGTCCGCTTTTAGGCGACGGAGGAGGAAAGGTCGGATGACTTTGTGGAGTTTCGCAACCTGTTCTCGATCTTCCTCGTCTAGAGCCTGACGACCGTGTTCCAAGATCGACTCCACGGGCCTCTTGAACCATTCCGACCATTCTTTTAACCCTGCGAACGCGTCGTCCTCGCCTTCATTTTCTTGACCATAGTGGAGAAAGAACAGAAGGGACCAAAGTTCAGTTAAATTGTTCTGCAGGGGAGTTCCTGTCAGGAGGAGCCGGGCTCTGGTGTTAAACGTCATCATGGTTTGCCATCGTTCTGAGCGAAAATTTTTGATGTTGTGAGCCTCATCCAGAATCATGTAATGCCACTTTCTTCTCTTGAAAGAGTTTGCATCTTGCAAGACCAATTGGTACGACGTGATACAGACGTTGAAGCTGTCATCCGCCATCCAGCCTCTCCTCTTTTGCTTCCGTTCTTCAAGGTTGCCATAGTATGTCAGAACCTTGAATCCAGGCAAGAACTTTTTGAACTCCATTTCCCAGTTCAGCATAACACTTGTCGGTACCACGATGAGATGCGGACCCCAGACTTCGTAAACTTCAGCAAGGTGGGCCAGAAGCGCAATGCTCTGAATAGTTTTGCCGAGACCCATCTCATCGGCGAGTATCCCACTCCTTCCATGGGCATATAAATCCGCAAGCCAGTCCAACCCTTCATGCTGATATTCACGAAGAGTACCTCGCAGCAACGAGGGAACAGGCGTCTTGATGACCGATTTTGCTTCCGAAGGTGTGACAGGCGGCACAGAGCCTGTACGAACATCGATGGAAGAGAGAGACCCAGGCTCGGAGAATTTCGTCGTGGTCGTATGAGGAGAGGGATGGGAGCTATGCTCCTGGCTTCCAGGATCTTCAGAAGGAAGTCGGGCAATCTGAGAGTGGATGAGTGGTGTTGCATCTCGCAATCCAGCGTTGTCGGTTTCCTGAGCTGTTGGAGCCTCCAACTGTACACTGTGTTCGCTAGTGGCTTCAGCTTTCAGTTTCTCCTGACCATTTTGTACGGGCGTTCGGTCCGCTTCAGAGGGTTCTGCTTTTGGTATCGGCACATCTTCTAGGACTTGTACAAGGAGATTGTTGCGGCTTTCGGACTCTTCTTTCTTCGATGCATCCATTTCATCGGCTTCAAGCGTCATGTCCACGATCTGTTTCTTTGAGAACAACATTGAGAGGAGGCCGCCACCTGTCTCATCCTCCTCGCTTTCTCCCTCCTCGCCCTCATCCTCATCACCACTTCCCGATGTGTCAAACTCGGAATCCATTTCAGTCTCAGGATCTGACTCTGCATCAGGCTGATCCAGACTTTCTTCATCTTCCGCTTTGCCATCAGAGAACGGCCCTTCATGGGCGATCGGCAAGTCTGGTAGGTTACCATACTTCTTTTTCAATTCTTCAATTGACATCTGGGCGTCGTGGTCCCCGTCGTCTGGTTCTGACTCTGTTTCTGTTTCGCTCTCTGACATCTGCTCGCTATTTTCAGACTCCGATTCGGTGGTCTCGTTGGACGAAAGATCTGTTTCACTATCCATCATAGAGTCATCCTGCTCAGCAAGTCGAGTGAGCATTTGATCCGTTCGATCCAGGACTCGAGCAAGGTGCCCCTTCATCTTTGCCTGCTGCTGTTCTTCGTATTCCTTCTGTCGGATGGCGTTGACTTCTTGCCGGACCGCAGCCCAGAGTTTGTCGATATCTTTGACCACTGTCCGATAGATTGCCACACAGGCCTCTCGTTTCTCTTGCTCGATTTCTTCCGCAGTCTTGACCTTATTGCGCTTCTGCTTCTTTTCAACGTATCGTTTTGCCTCATGCGCTAGTATTTCAGCCTTCCTCTTATGCTCTCTATGCTCTGCTCTTAAGAGATTCCTGAAGTGGCATACGTGGGCTAAGAGGTGATCACGATGGGCGTATTGTCTCCCTGGTTCATCTTGCTTATCGGGCAACGCATCGACGAATTTATTATGGAGCGATCCTCGCTTTTGGGCATCTTTCACTCTTTGCCTGGCCACGGCCTCCTTCTCAACTTGATCACGTGTCAGAGTTTCTTCTCCTGTCCTCGGTTCGGTCTCATCCTTCTCCAAGAATTCTTCAAAGGATGCGTACTTCTTCGGTAGAGGTACATTGGCTGGACTAGCAACGGAGGGTGGGGGTAGTCGCACCCGAAAGGTAACTTTGCGCAGAGTCACCGGAGGAGTCGACCCTCTGGAGGAGAGTCCGCTAGATGTATCCAGATTGTCGTCATCACTCTCTTGCTCAATCTTCACTATGCCGTTTGTCTGCGGTTTGTCTCCATATGCAACGCTGAGCCGTGGCGGGGTGGTCTGAGGGCGGTGAGCCGCACTGGCACGATGACGAGGAGATTTTGGCTGAGTCGAATGTGGATGGGTTGAGGTGATAACCGTGTCTCTGTGAGCACTGGTACGATGACGAGGAGATTTTGGTTGAGTCAAATGAGGATGCTTTGAGATGAGAATCGTGTCCCTGAGATGCCTCTGCGAGGCTTCGGCCTTGCGGTGGTGTTGCGACTGGGATACATCGTGACCCTTTGAGGGAGGAACAGGACCCCGCTTAACAGTCACCGGCGGAGATACGTGCGCTTCAATCTTAGACTTACGAGCGGACACGTTATAAACAGGCTTTGCATGTTTTTGACGCTCCTCCTTGGCCTTGTCAAAAGCGGCGCGTGTCTGCCTCTTGTTGGATTGCGGCTGCAGGTCGAGGGGCACTATGTTTGTTCTCCCGGACTTTCGACGACCATCCTGGATGAAGGACGCCGGACCTTCTGCAACGACTCGCTTCCACGGAGGAGAGATGAGACGAGGAGATGATTTATGGTCAGTGCCTGCGACTTTCCGCCGCTTCGCGGGGGGCCCATCGTGGCCGTCATGAGGATCGACGGAGGATCTGACGGGGCTTTCTTGATTGCGGATAGGCGACGTGGATCTCTTATTGAGCAAGTCTAAAAGATATTCAGTCAACTGATGTGAGGTCGAGTTTAGTGAAGGAGCTTACCTTGATGTTGGGTGTTGGAGTCTGATTGAAAGTCGCCGGTCGGAGAAGGAATCGGCATCTGGCGCGGTCACTGCAGCTGCGCCTGGCATGGCAGAATCGAGATTCGTAGAAAAACGACAAAATGACGACGGGTATGCTCCACGGGCAGGGCGCTAGATTGGGTGAATCGCAGGTCAAATTGTAGCACCGACCGAGAAGAGTGGCCTCGCGCAGTCTGCGGCGTCCTGGGACAAAGTTGGGCTGTTGGCGAGCGATTGAAGTTGGAGGCAAACCGTGAAAATATCGAGTTGGGAAGAAAGTGAGCGCAGGGGGGGGGGAGAGAACAGGCGAGTTTAGGGTGCAGGCTGCGCAGGCTGGTGACCACCCGCCGAGCGCCTCGCCGCCCATGTTGTCCTGTGGAAAAGAAGTGCCTAGACACTGGCAAGCTCCTGCCTAGACCAATCACTGCCCGCCATTCATCATCCATCTTCAAGCATTCCTCGTCTCTCACTCCACACCCACACGTCAACTCTTCACAGCCCGCGATCTGAATGACCTGACTTCTCACTGCACCTCTCCCTGTCCGGCTCACTGGAGCCTCCTAGATATGAAGATGCTATCCCGACGTGCCTTGACCTTGGCCGCAACCTCGGCGCGATCTCTTGCCCGAACCCGTCCTCAATCTCAAATCCAACCTCGATTCCGCATCCCTCGAGCCCAGTTCTCGGTCGCAAGATGTCTGAAGGCTGCTGGAGAAGAGATAGACGATCCTGAAATGGTACATTGATCTGCAGTTACAGCTTCAAGAAGGATGCTAATCTTGACGTTGAAAGAACAACAACTACATCAACCCACCTCGAATCAAGCGACAACATCGTGACCCCTATGCCAACTGGGATGACAAGCAAGAACGGCGCAACTTCGGCGAGCCCGTCCACGAAGACAATGACGTTCTCGGCATCTTCGCTCTGGAGGATTATACATTCATGTCCACCGCTCGGGGCCTCTTGCTGTGGGCCGGCTTCATCACCTGCGTGCTGGGGGTATATTATGGCGTCTCATACACATATCCCGGCAAACCGAGTGCCCCAAGAGAACTTGAAGGAGGACTATTTGAGGAGCTTGGAGGTCCAGGCGCCGTTAGGGTGAGCATACGTTTTGCTATTGCGACCTCTTCATGCAGCTAATCAATGTCATAGGCACATATGGCCGGGGACCCGGTTGACGAGGAATAAATCAGCGGCGGTCTCAAAGCAAAATTCCTAGATATCTAGAGACATTAAGCTGAACCAAAATTGATCGCCGTGAGAGCTCTGAGCAATAAAAGCGCAATTGACTGTCTCTCTCGCGATGGATCCATTGGCGGGGATTGATGAATGATACTCCCGCACCGAACACTACTAGTTCAGACCGCGCACTCGTCTGTGGAAAGGGGTGTACATAGCTCACACATGTGGTTTTTACAGTGAATTTCATTCTTGTCCCAGTGAGAGTCAAGGTCCAGAGAGACGACGTATATCGGGTTCGCACCTTGCGTGTATCTATCCAAAAGTCTTGCATTCTCGAAGACAGCTCCATTGTGAGGAATGGATCTAGGCACCTCATGCAGCGGCTCCCTCCAAAAGAAACATCAAAAGGGATATACATAGGGAATCCAAGTAACGAGGGGTCTAACCGCGCTGTCCCGTGTCCAAACCGCATGTGCCTGTATCTCTCTCTGCAGGTATATGTGGTTGGAGTGTTGCTTTCGCGCGCCAACAGCCACAGCATCGATTGAGGAGAATGGAGAAACGAGTCTTGAAATAAACCTACTCCCTCTCTGTGCCACTGGGCGTCAGAGTAGAAATCTCGATTCCCGAGGGGCCCGCTGCCTGCTCTGCTCGATGGACGTCTGGCGTGTCTGTTCCAGTCTGATAATGTGTCGACCAGTCTCTCTCTTCTCTGTATGTGTCCGTCCGTCCGTCCGTCCGTCTAGGCTACCATCCACATACCCCAGCCCACAATCACGAGCATGACCCAATAACCACTCAACTCGACGACCATGCGGACACTGGCACTGACCTGGGACGGATCGCTCGGATCAGTGCCACCGTCGGCGGTGGTGCCGTTCGCCAGGCTGCCGTTGATATATGTGCTGGTTGAGCCGTTGCTGAAGGTGACGGTCCTCACCGTACTGGTGTTGACGGGCGCGACGGGTGTCGAGCTCCCGTTGGTGACCACCTGGGTCAAAAAGGTCGAGTTGTCGTTGGGATCGCAGCCGCACACCTGGTACTGTTGGCACAGGCACGTCACGTTCGAGGTGCGGTTTCTCCCGTCGGGGTCAGTCCAGTGGTACGGAAAGCCATATGGATACCCCCACACGCTGCCGTAGAGCCACAGGCCTGGGAAGAAGGCCAGCGCGCCCGCGCCGATAAAGAACGGCGCAACGCCCAGCGTCGGCGAGCGCTTGCCGGCAGTGAATGGAACCACCGCGCCGCCCGTGTATCTGCCCCCGTATGCCTTGGGTGTCCCCGAACCGTCACGCGTGCGGCCGCCGACATTGGATGCGGGAGAGAAGGAGTACGGCACTCCGTTTGGTCTTGTGGAAGAGCCTCCTGAAGAACTTCCAGAACCTGTGCGCCCGCCGCTGGAACTCCCAGAGGAGCCGCTGCTTCCTCCACCGCCTTTGCCACCGCCGCCACCTTTGCGCTTCTCGAGGTAATTGAAGGGGTCGAGGGGAAGGGCGTCGCGCAGCGAGAGATCGGTGGAGGGAGACAGGGGCGGCGCGGAAGCGACGAACGAGGTGACGCAGAAGAGGAGCGTTATCTGGAGGAACTTCATGGTTGCTTGCGCTGGTTGGACCAGTTTCTTCTCGTGACAAAGATGTCAAGATGGGACCGGTATATTAGGGCAGGGTCAACCCTTCGGTACCGTGCCGGCGAGTACAGGGGTATGTAGTTTGATTATATGGTAGCAAACGCGCCAGGCGCAGTTCAAACAAAGGACTCGAGTGAAGAACGATGCGCTCTTTAGGTCCCAAGTTATAAGTTTGACAACAAAGAAGCAGGGGCGGAGGCGACTTACACAGCCCTGCCCAAGTTGCACCTCTACAACAAACCGGGAACGGAGTGGTGAATCATCAGATTTCTCCATCCCCAGGACCGACTGCGCATCTGGTTGTAGATCCGAAAACGCATTGGCTCGGGGCATCGCCTCGCCACAATGCCAAGGGGACTATCTGCAAGCTACCTCATAGTACGTGGTAGCACAGGTAGCTACGTCAAAACGTGTCAGGAGGCAGTGCCCCAGACCCCCTAAACTCCAAGTGATTCGGCATGGGCTTCCCACACCTATCTCTTGGACGTATTGGCGTATTCACCATTCCATGCACGTGAATGAGCCAGAGTCAACCTGGTCAGCCTGGCATCACGCTTCTGCTGCTAAGCCTATGAAGGCTGCGGAATAAGACGAAGGTCGAAAGCTTAATGGCGATTCTAGAAACTGTCTGGACGGACACGGCTAGTCCAACTTAGCATCAATGTTTATAAACCCTGACATCTTCAGGAGAGCTCGCCGCACAGTCGCCCGAAGTCTCGGTTGGGCAATGAGGAATGCATGTTGGCGTCCTGCCGGGCGAATTCTCCGATGCCTCGCTTCATTCCATCACCGCTCTCTTTTTGTAGTGGTACATTGTTTGAGAACGCCTTACCCTCGTTCACGTCAGATCCCGACGAGTCGCTTCGTACCTATAGTTATGCACAGTCAGCAAAGGATGGCAAGCAAATATTCACGTTTTGGACTTTTGAAGGCATTCTGAGAACGGCGAACATGTTCACATACCTCTTGCCTCTGAAAGCCCACACTCCCCAGTTCCCACAGCTAATGTCCTGAGGATCAAGATCATTCAAGTCCCATCTCAGAGACCGGAATCTGTTCTCTCCAGGTTCCATCAGCAGATCGACTTCGCCTGCACATTTCTCCATGACCCATTGCCAATCGCGCGTCATGTCCCATTCCGTGTACCCCGTACATATCACGGGAATTTTGGTCTCAAGCAGTCGAGGCAAGGTGGCTTCCCATTCGAGTGAAGACGCGGGGTGACCTAAGCCAGGGTGAAACAACATGAAGCAATCAAAATACGGGTCGTAAGGATAGAACACATTTGCTTCATGCAGGGTGTGGAAATAGTCCACGTAGGTGGTGATTTTCATCTTGGGCGATACACGGTCTTCGACAATGGCACCAAATGGATTCTGAGGTGTCCTCTCGGGCAGAGGATATTCTGCGTCTCGGTTCATCATTGACTCGGGGCCAATGAAAATGAGATGAATCAGTGAGAGGGGGAAAAGGTACGACAGCTGCGTCCACACCTCACGGGGGAGAGATGACTCGGCTCGTGCACCTAGGACAAATATCCGGACTGGAGGACTTGACAGCCTTAGACCTTTGATATCTTTGCCTTGACCCGTTTTAGGCGGATGCAATGTATACCGTAGTGCTATTGGTGTCAGTCTAGGGCAGTGCTTGGACGAAAATGCGACTCACCTGACAAACTCTTCAATCCCTCTGCAGTTAGCCGCCCGCCAGTCCTGATGTTGTATGGACTCAGTTCATGCAAGACACTCCCGATCGTCAGAGGATATGTCAATAATTTCGTGACTTGTCGCATGCTCCTCTCGTCATTTACTGCTTCATATTGCCGCGTGTAGAGATAGGTGTCCCAATTGGTCATATTGACCAAAGCTTCATCCATCTGAGGTCCGGGATACTCAAACTCAGGGAACCATCTTCCCGATCTCAGATCATGGTCGTCCTCGTTGATTTGTCTCAGTGTATCGCATATCTCTAAGTGTGCCTCAAAGTCATCCGCCCAGTGTTCCTCGGAGCAGTATGTCGCTATGCCGCAATCTGGGCACTCAAACGCAACGTGAGCTGGAGGTTCCGTGCTCACTCCCTCGATTTTCCTCGCTTCCGGATCGTGGGGCGAAATCGGTACCCGCGTCTGTTGATGCACGGGGTGTGGGCATAACGCATGCTGTCTCATAAAACGTGCCCTTTGCCGGATCTCGGGGATTGGTGATCTGGAGAAGGGATGGAAGAGATTGCCGGGTCTCAGGACCACTCGGCCATGGGCACGCCACTCGCCATAATCAGTAGGGGGAATATTGTGTCGCTCGAAGTTATCAGGTTCTTCCGCAGGGGCGGTAGCAGTAGACACAGGCCGGGATGAACCTTTAGAGCTTCGGATCTGCTCAGCTCTCGATTGATTTCGCGGTGGGTGCATCAACGAGCTGCTGGAGGTGAAGCTGCGACGGCCGGGGATCTGCTGGACGAATCTAGTATTCGGCCGCTGTCGAGCTACACCTGAGAGTGCTCTTGCACATCTCAAGCAGGTGAACAGGCCTTCCATTGACTGCGAAAAGGGAGGCAAGCGTGAAACCAACTGGATCAGATGCATCAACTGCGCGATTCAATACAGAAGAACGAGCTGCGGTCGCTGTCACCAGATCCTCGCCAAGAGCTTTGCTAAATTTACTGGCGAGCTAACTTCGACCCCCTTTTTGGAATATGTGATGCCGCCCTATGCACCGAACAAGCCACTTGGCCCAGCAGGCCTGCACCAACATGCGCCTAGTGACGCCGCTTTTACAACTCAGTCCCTCACGCAAACCTGCTGCTGGGACTGACGATCATGGAACGCAAAACAACATCCCACACTATAACATGTTGATCCAGTAAGTAGAACTGAGTGCAGCTGAGTGTCTGTTCACCAATTCTGGGTCCAGAATCCTCATCATACCATCCCTGGTTTAGGCACTCTCTCCCTTGTGGGATATAAATAACGCTCATTAATATGCCATGGCTGCGACCGTAGAAATTCCAGGCAGTCTGCTCGAAACGCTCACTAGCAATTCACAATCTCGTCGAGTCCATCCCCCCCCCTCAAATGCTCCCAATGCTAAGAACACAGCAGCAAGGCTCATGAAGTCCCAGGCCTCTTCTTCCACACGACCGCAACTTTCACCAACACCCTCCCAGTCTTTAATCTTCCCGCGCCTGGAAGCCCGACTCTCTCAAATGCGCCCATCAACCCGGCGAACATCCAATTTTTGTCCATATTCTCATCCAACACATTATCCCCCGGATACAGCGCCTGTTTCTCCATCTTCTCGGGCAGTTTTGCTGTCAAACTGCTCTCGGCGCTCGCATCTGGATCCCACGCTTTGTGAATGAACACCGGCGTCACTCTTTTCGCGTCGTCATTAAAATCTGCGGGATTAGGGTCGGAGAGAAATTCGAGGCCTGCAATACGGCCGGCCCCCGGGCGGTAGTAGACATGGACACGATTGATCGAGGAGGCGCTGAGGTTGCGGTCCTCGATCTGCTTCCAACGCGCTCCTGTGGGTTTAGACCCGACGTACATGTTGGCGAACATTGTGGCTCGTTCTTCCGCGCTAGATTTCTTGACCCCTGTGGACTCCTCGGCTTCGACTGATTTGGTGCTGCGGTGGAAGAGGGACTTTTTGTTTGTGTACCCGAATCCGATACCGCTGATGGCGTTGTGACTGTCTTTCACACGGCGGCTGTGATACCACCCGGCTGCAAAAGGTTGCACGGCAACTCGTTGAGGGACTTCCTCGTCATCGACGTCGAAATTGCCAATTGCAAAGTGTTCGTAACTTTTGTACTGGGACAAGGGCTCTCCAATTACATCCCAGCAGTAAGTCACCGGGTCGCTAGTTATATGCTCCATGCCTTGCAAGTCGGCCACCTCCTTGTCTCGCCATTCACTCCCGCTGTTGTCAAATTTGGGGATCGGGAGTATGCTTTGAATGACGCCTGGACAAATATACTTTGGAAGACTGTACACGTGCCGACCTTGGTGGTCGTGCTGGGTGATCGATCTCGCCGGGTCCACGACTAGTGCTGCGGCCTGTTCCTGAATGTAGATCATTGAAGAGCGACAGAGAAGCCTCATCATGCTTAGTTTCTGTGGATCTGGGTCCATGTTGGTGAGTTTGGGAGTCGGGTCTTTGATAATGACGTCGAGGTTCATGAGGGCCCGAGTCTTTTTGTCCGTCCATGCGTCTGGTGCTGGGTCATCTATCTCTGATGCTGTGAAGTCGATGGTATCCCGTCTTGTACCAACAACAACATCACCACTCTGCAGAGCAGCCTTCTGGCTGTTCATTTTAGCTTTGTCATCGTCCCGATTCCGGTAGTCCTGGGGGTCTTTGATCATTGCATTCAGCTTCTCGCACAAGTCTTGAAACGCCATGAAGTCTTCATACAGCGTGCTAGTATAAATGGCACAATGGTCGTAAGTCAGCGGTAAGGGTATGCGAGGACTCGCCAGTCGGTGGTCGTGGAAACTCTTCAGAGCCGTGTACGGTGTCAAGACAGCTCGAATCTTGGCTGGCTTGGCTGCGACCATTGAAGGAAAAGCATTCGCTATGAGGATCAGACTGTCCATTCCCCAGGGGAAGTCGTGATTCTTGATCTGGCCACCGCCTCGCCATTGAATCCGGATGGAAGTTGTTGCTTGCGAAAAGAGACGATTTCGTTCCTGTGTGGCGTCCATTTCACCTGAAGCTTGCACTGGTAGACCCATGGGGGTCAACTGCGCCGAAGCATGCACGGCTAATTGTCTGGAATTCTTCCGATCTTGTGACTTGATGCCTACCCAGGCATATATCTCACCCCCCTCGACGAAATCCGATATGAAACAGTCGCCATAAATTCGCGTAAACTCGACGCTCCTGGCATGCGCGTCCTTCATCTGGCTTGGCGCCTTCTCATCTCCAAGGGCTTCATTCAAGCCTGGAACTTCGTTAAACGACCATTCTTCCTTGCGATCATCAGCCTCGTTGACGACCTTAACATGAACAAGGAAATTGACGTCGTTCGTATTGAGATCATCTCGAGTTGCAAGACTGCTGCGAGCGTCGGCGCCTGGGCCTAAGCTGGTGGCTTTGATTGCAGCAGAAGCATTAAACCCCATGGCATTGTTCATTTCAACAATACTCTTGACCTGTTTTGAAGAAAAGGTCACCGTTTGGTTGTGCCGAGCATTCGGATCCAATTTGAGCAGATACGGCAGTTTCGGTTGCTGTGGTGTTTCGGCGCTGGTTCTCTTCAAGCTCTCGGTCAGTGTGGTAAGGATGTCATTCATGTCCAGACCCGGCTTTGGCGGTGGCGGTGGCGCTGCTTTTGACACCGAATCGCTCCTTGTATGCTCTGCCGTGATCGTGTCGGCCTCACTAATCGAGGCACTTGCACGCGCAGGGTTTTCTGGGAATTTGGTGATTGTGACAGCATTGTCGATTCGGACTTCTTGAATATAGGAATTGTACCCTTGGCCGCGCTTCATGCGCACATTGTAAAGAGGTCCGCTGTCATCCATTCTGATATTCTCGACGCTGTGTCAGTGAAGGATGAAAGAGCCCACGAGACATCGTGAGATGTAACGGATTTTTCAGGCAGCTCTCAGATGGACGGCCGATGCAAGTCTCCATCGGTTTTGACGTAAAACCGTTGCGCCCGCGAGCGATCTTCAACGGCCAGACCGTAGATGGTGGTCGAATTCCGTCAATCGAATCCGCTGCCCACACGATTTGACAAAGTACGTGCAGCTGGAATCGCCTAATCAGTCGACTGGCGACCGTGTTAGGCCACGCTAATGCATTGCGAAATTTAGGGAAGAGGCCCAGGAAAGAGGAGTTGCATGTGAGCAATAATGAACGCGACACCTTTCAGCTCGAGCGGAAGGGCCGGAGCCTATGAATCTGTCGACAGAGAGCCTGCGACGCCTTGCGATCTTCAGCTCCCACGAAGCTGAAGAATCACTCTGTTGTTGTGCTAGCCTAATGGTGTGGTGGGAGTGTTTTATTCGCGGGCACCACCGCACCGTTGCGGGGACTACTTGTTCAATTGACATGGACGGTCCGGGGACTTAGTCCCCTAGCGGGCGAGCGGTGGGCGAGTAAGAGACGCGAGTGATGCACTGATCTGGCGCGTAGGAGCCGAGAATGAAGCCAGGGTTGGCCAGGGGGGAAAGTCGCAATTATCACGTGATCGGCCAACCTTCCTCCAAGCACTAAGGCATGCCTTGTGAGCCTAGCTCGCTAGGTAATACTAGCAATACTAGGTACTCCAAACAAGGTACATCAGGATTGGGTGTCCTTGGGTGTCTTGTCTTTGCGTTTGACGCTGAACTCACATCCATATCAAGACCCCTACGCCCCATTATTCTGGATGATAACCTGTTTTATGTCTAGCCTAGGCATCCTTGTAGGTACATGGGCGAGAACGCCGGTGAAAGCAGAAACTGGCTATTGGGATATGGTGTATCGGGTCCTCGGCGCCTGGCCCGGCGTTTGCTTTGAAAGCACGACTTCTCGGGCCAGTGTATTCTATCAGGGCCTCCAGACCTCATAACTTGATCACGAAAATATGCAGGTCTTGCCCGAGCGAAGACTGTCCTGGTAACCTTTTGCTTGACAGGTCTCTATACCGGAGCAGGAACTGGCTGCATCTTCGTCAAAGTGGTACGTTATTCCCCTCCCAGTCTTGAGGTTCGTCGAGAGTCTTCATAGACGATGAGTCCCGTTTGCTCGCAGATGCGATGATGCGCGAGTCTTTCGCAGTTTCGAGGCTCAGAAGCGTTTCATTCCGGTCAGTGAGGTTGAAGAGCTGCCATTTATTTGTGTGCAAGTTAACACGACAAAAAGGGGCAGAGTCATACTGCTGTCAACTGATTATTGACTCGAATGGTCAGCGCATCGATGTGCGTATTTTGCACGTCCAGCCGTCGTCACAGCACGAGTGTGGAAGAGCTGCTGTGAAAATAAGAAGAGATTTCAGTCCCAGAGGTAAGCTATAGTAGTAGGACTACTAATGGTTACAACAATATTCTCCGCAAGACGATTTAAGTGCCGATTTGCAGCGAGTGATGTCGCGAGTCCACTCATTCTAGCCGACAACATTGAATACGCGCCTTTTGCGGCCTAGTGCAACATCATGTCCCATCCTGAATATCCTTTCCGCTTCTCAACTGAGGAAACATCTCGGCTGACCTCGCCGAGGCGGAAATTATGGTGTGAGTTGAATGAAGCGGCAGCACTGAGCAAGATGCAGTACGGATGTTGTGCCAAAGATCCGAGCCTCATTAAACAATCCTGGAAACGAGGCATCTGCTTATCCCCAGTCCAGCCAAGGCTTCGTGTCTGCCCAATTCGGACGTCATGGGTAATGTGGAGGCCAATAAAATGGACAAGGAATATAGAGCCATAGAATCCCCATCCTTTGCACTCGTAATGGGTTGGAATGATATCAAACGTTGTCGAGGAGCTATGGGAATAGTCAATATACTTTTTCAAGCCCATATAATTGACAAGAAACTCGTAGTTGTCTTTCTTCATGTCGAGCCGATAAGGATATCGTCCCCACGACCAATGGGACTCGGGCGAGCCTGACGAGGAGTTTGGAGTCGGGTTGTGACATTTCTCCGATCCAGTTTCTGATGCTGCAAGTGTCTCCTTGAGACTGGCTAAAGATATTCGAGCCATCATGCCCTCGAGAGTATACTCAGTCACATATACAAAATCATTGTCGCCATGAAAGTCCAATTCGGGGAGCTCTGCGCCGTTTCTGCCGTAGAAACTGGTGAGGGAGACAGGAGCGCAAAGCTCGTTGCATTTCCAGCAATCTTGGTTGCATCGATACCTTGGACCGTTTCGCTGGTGAATGGCTCCGCTTCCCAGGGGCTGTTGTCATATCAGATCGTCACGGCGTTTGGCCAACAGTCCCCATGGGCGAGGTAGTAGGCTAGCATGGCGACGACGTTGTGAATACGCGCAAATGTATCTCTTTGTGCTGTCTTACTGCCTGTGACTTGTCCCATGGAGAGAAAACTCGGCACAATGGCTCTCAACTTGGTGTCGATAACGATCTCCTCTCAATTCACAGGGGACGAGTGTGAAGAGGTGTTGCTTGACATTACTGCCGAAAGGCCCATGCTTTTTAGCCGAGCAGCGAAAGAACCGTCGAGAGATGCTACATGTGTTCCGCTCCATCAGCTCCTCAACAGCTCGCAGATCTAGCAGTCCGACCGACCTTTGTTCGCGCTCACTCATTAGCTAATTTTGCTCCTTCTCCTTCTTTCCTCATGAAACCAAATGCATCGAACACCCTCTAAGCGCGTTCCATTTCCAATCTTCCCCGGCGCACAGCAACCCAAGCTCTCGTCCCTCGAAGATACTATTATGTCTCGCAAAAAGGGCAGTTCCGTGGCATCAGTGATTGTTCTTGCTTGGCCCAGTCTTGAAGACTGAGGAGTGGTTTCCCATTCCCCCCCCCCC